GTTCCCTGGGCCCCGGAGGCGGCCGGTGGCCTCATCGCTCTCCGCGTCCTCATGCTGGGTAGGTGGTTGGGGACAGGGGTGGGGATGGGGCCACGGGGCAGGCGCTGAGCCGGCTCCACCTCGCCGTAGATGCCATCCCGGCCATGCTGGGCTGTGGGGACCGGCCGGTCCTCCATGCTGTCTTTCTCAGCAACAACTGCTTCGAGCACATCATCCGCCTCCTCCAAAACAGCAAGGTACCGTTGGGTGGCCACCTTGGCGTCACCACGCCTTGGTGACACCAGGGTTGGGCGCCCTCATCTCCATCGTCATCCTTCCTGGCTCTGAACAATGCCGGGAGGGGGCGGCCATGCCGCAGCAGCATCCCCGGGGTGGGGACACCCCATAACCCCCTTCCCTTTTCCCCCCACACCATACTGGGTGCTTCTCCCCGGGGCTGACGCCCACCCCATGTTCCACAGCTCTACCTCGGCAGCTCGCGGGAAGCAGGCGAAGCCCGGGATGAGGTCCCTGTGCGGCCACCAGATGGGAATGACCTCCAGCAGGTATCATGTGGGGCTGCCCCATAAGCAAGTGGGGCCACCCCATAACCAAACCACCAGGTGCAGTGGGCTGCGTGTCCCCCCAACCCATGGCTTAGCAGACCCACCCCCCCACCATGTCTCCGTAGGTCTTCGACGGCAGCTCCGATGCCATCGCAGTCCACGCCATCGGGGTGCTCACCGCCATCATGAGCAACTCGCCCTCAGCCAAGGTGGGCAGTGGAGCAGGGTCGGGGCGACACCCCAAAAATGGCTGGGTTTGGGGGTTTTCACGCTGTGACGTGGGCTGGGGTGAAAGCAGCACGTGGTGGGGCTCAGCACAGGGTCCCATGTGCCCGGGTGCTTGCAGGAGGTCTTCAAGGAGCGCATCGGCTACGCCCACCTCTACGAGGTCTTGAAGAGCCAGGGCCAGCCCACCCAACGTCTGCTCCAGGAGCTCCTCAACATGGTGAGCATGCCCGCTTCTCCTCCACGCCAAGCAAAGCCCTTGGTGGTTCATGGTGGAACTCAGCCCCCAGAAGCCCCATTCCTCACCCCCCGTCCTCTCCACCCTGCTAGTTGTCCATCAGCTTCCACCCAAGGGGTCCTGGGGCCATCTTTAGCTTGGAGTCATGCTCAGCTTTGGGGAGATTTGAGCCCTTTCTGATGTGGTAGCGCTTGCTCTGGTACTGCTGGATGCGCCAACATCTCAAAAAATGCTTGATGCACAGGGGATTCCAAAATGCTTGATGCACGGGGTCTCTGATATGCTTGATGCTTGGGGGTCTCCAAGGCTTTTGGTCCATGGGGTCTCCAAAGACGTTTGGTCCATGGGCGTCTCCAAGACATTTGGTGCATGGGGTCTCCAAGGCTTTTGGTCCACGGGGGTCTCCAAGACGCTTGATGCACAAGGGTCTCTCATAGGCTTGACGCCCGAAAATCTCCAAGTGCTTGATGCACAGGGTCTCTCCCACCAGCCCCAGGTGACCAGGGGGAGGATCCATCTCTCTCCACGGGGTTGGGGCCGCACTGACCGGCTCTTGTGTTTTGGCAGGCAGTGGAGGGTGACCACAGCTCCTTCCCAGTGCGCTCCATCCGCAAC